GCATGGAAGGAGGGAGAGTGACTCGCTTAGTGCTTGAAAAATGCCCATACCAAACAACCACTCGTCCCAAAAGCTAACATCTCCTTCACCCAACGTTCAGAAGATATGCTCCTGGCACGCCTACCAACCCTAGTGAGCAGCAGCCACTGTCTACTATCATGAGCGGTGGTCATCACTCTACAAGGATTACAGACACCTATAGGGCAATACTTCCCCCAAAGGTATTGAACCCAAAGCGACATTCTTTCCCTAAAGCGCCATACATCTTATAAGAGAAGGCGCTAGCTACGTCCGATAGGCGGCGGATCCCAAGGCCACTCTGGGAGATAAGGCCAGCAAACAGAATCATATTTCACCTAATGGAGTTGTCTCCCCTTCGGGAGCCTTCCCTATGCCCTCAGAAATAAAGAGCCATGATTTGATCTAACTCATGGATAGTGGATTGAGGGGATCGAGGACCATAAGAAGCTGAAGTGGAAGGGCACTGAGGGTGCTCTTGATTAGCGCAAGTCGACTTCCAAAAGAAAGATTTATGTGCAACCAACCAAAGATTCGGTCAATCATCCTCTGCTTGACATTTGCAAAGATTGCACTCGTGAGATGGTCCTTGTACAGAGGAGCATCGCGGTAGATGATGGTGAGGTCGCCGTGCGCGAAACTATTGCGCTCGTCGGCAGCAATGGGAGGGAAAAGGATGAAGGTGATCTTTTGCACGCCGACAAGCTAATCGGTGACCAAGCTATAGTGCTCCAGAAGGTGCATAAGCTCGACAGTCCATCATTATCCGTAATAATGAAGGTAATGATGCCATCCACATAAGAGAGGTGCAAGATGGGAGAACCATAGCGATTTGTATTGTAGGTCATCCTCGGGTTATCATGGATGAAGGCATCTAGGCAGCGAGAAAGGTACTCTGCCACCAGAACAAAAAGCGAAAGGGAGAGATGATCCCCCTACCGAAGGCCCCGAGAAGAAGAGAGGAAGTCGATGGGGCTATCATTAATCGAAATGAGAACGTGTAGTGCTCTACACACGCTTCTACAAAGCGAAACCACCGAAAACCCATCCGGACCAGTACATCCTTGAGAAAAGGCCACTTGACCCTATCATATGCTTTATTCATGTCTAGCTTCAGCGCAAGGTTTGGGACTCGCAACCTTTTTGCATGAGAGTTGTCGTGGATCATCTCCTGGCCAAAATATTGTTAACACTAATTACTCGAGCCTTGATGAAACCACTCTGGTTTGGATAGATGAGAGAAGGAAGAAGAGGCCATTAAGAATTTTAGAGATGAGATTGTGTCACATTACAGAGGCTGATAGGCCTATAATATGACCAAAAGAGCCTGAGCAAGGTCTTTTGGGGATCAAGAAGACTGAGGTAACCGTGAAGGACTTCGGCATCTGGTGACCAGAGAAAAAATTCACCACAACTTCCTCAACATAAGTCTAAACAAGTTCCCAGCATGCCTGATAGAAGAGAGCCGAGAAGCCATCCTGGCTAGAGAACTATTGGGTCAATCCAAAAAACAACCTCCCTAACCTCTTCCCTGTGCAGGAGCTCACAAAGGTTAACAAGGTCAACCGACTGAGGGATGGTAGGGAAGAAGGAATCATTAGGGGCCGTAAGAAATTCTCTGTCTAAGGTGAAGAGAGATTAACTGTGTGCCACGGCTGACTCCTGTATCTGGGACTCCTAAGTCAGGGGTGACCATTTGTCCTCGATATTTTGGATATACGACTTGACACGTTTCTGCCTCACAAACCCCTAAAAGTACCTAGTATTATGATTCCTCTCATCAACCCAGCGTATGACAACCTTATGCGTCTAGTAATCCTCCTCCATAAGAAGTCGGAGCACGTACTCAGCGTGACAGTGGCACATCGCGGTTCTATTTTCGGAGAGGATTCCACATCATAAGCTCGCTCAGAGTTAGCATACGCACTCTGAGCTGTAGATAGGCGATGAGAGAGGTCTCCAAAAATATTCCAATTCCACTTTTTCAGCCTGCGACGCATTCTCTCGAGCTTGGTCTCTAGGTTGCGTATCCTGAAGAGACCAGTCGTCTATAACCAGGAGTCTCTGACAGTGTCATGGAATGTGTGGTGGGAAATCCACATGTTTTGGAACCATAAAGAAGAGCGACGGGGGGTGCTTGAGAATTAACACCAGATGAAGAGAGGAGCATGGTCAGACTCAATTCGAGGAAGTTGTATGACGGTTGTAACCGCAAGCACCTTCACCCATGACCCAAAGATGAAAGAACGATCGAGCCTCTCCTTGACTCCACCCTGCTCCCAAGTGAAGGGGGATCTTTTGCAACCAGCGTTAATTAACTCACAGTCCACCACCACTTGAGAGAAATCCCATATCTCTTTTGAACGGTCTGACCGACCACATCGCACTAATCAGGATGCATAAAGATGTTGAAATCACCACTTACCATCCACGGTAATTCCTCCATACTCTCAGCAATCTCATTCATGGTGTCCCACAGATTGTAGCACCCGATCCTCGCACAATTAGCATAAACCAGAGTGTGGTAAATGGGACTCAAGGAGATGGGCAACAGAAGCTCGATGTACAACACCTACACGGTATCTCGAATGACCCGACAAGTGTATTCACACCAGTGAAAAACACAGATCTTATTCGATATGTTTCTCATGCTAGAGTGTAAACCGAGGCAGCATGAGTAGAAGTCAAAAGTAGGTGTGCGGCTCAAGAAAAGCGGTAAAGGAGAACCTATGATCACATACGAATGAGTGAAAATGAGCTAAGGTGGCCCTATTCGCCAGGCCACGGGCGTTCCAAGATAGGGAAGTGACCAACATATCAATTGTCGGATATGCCACCCGACTGGGTCCACTTGTGGCTAGGCTAAATCGGGCCACTTGTGTGGGGGTAACATCCGGTAGACCGAGCGCTGTGCGGTCCTCGATCTGGTACGAGGGCGATTACCATCGAGCTCTCAGAGTGAGGACCCTCTAACTGGTCCATCTGCTCTAATATAGTGTCCACATGTTGTCTCACGTCCCGTCTAGCGACATGCAGAGCCCGGTCAGGTGTGGAGCTCAACTTCTGCATGGAGGGGGGGTGAAGAGCCAGTAGATGGGACATTAGCGTCCCCGGTCACGGACAGAGAAGAGGCACTGTCTGTGAGCACTATCAAATGACACTCTCGGTGGAAATAACAGGGGTCGACTCAGCCTTTTCTGGGGGAATGAAGGCGGCAGTGGGCCTCAGACCTGAGATCCCTCCTCGGAGTTAATGTGCTCGCTGGTTGAAGCTACGTCACAAGAGCTATCGTCGTGGAGAGGTGCAGACTCGTCACCCACTGAATTGTCAACCAGGTCCATCTCATCATCCAGGAGGTCGTCGTCGTCAAGGGAAAGACTAGTCGTGTCTCCTGAAGGACAAGATGAGGATGAGTGCTCGTCCTCCATCTCATAAGAAATGATAGAGAAAAACGAGTGGTTGGCCTTGGAGGCCCTTTGGAGAATGTTATGAACTAGGTTTGCCCCAATGTGGAGAATTTATTTTTTTTCTTGGGCCCAAATGACACTTGTGTATAACCTAAGAATATTTTTTTTCATGGATTGTCTCAATTGGCCAACTCCTTCGAAGTAAAAATATGACTTCCACATGTTTTTCGGGCAGAACTATTGTCCGTATTTCGGTCGTTCCCTCTATATCAAATTGTGTAGTGCATGTTTTATGCTGAAAAATTAGTTCATTACACTTAGCCAACACAACAACACCAATTTTGAGAAGAGACTTTGAATGTAAATAAACCAAAGAATGATCTTTATTGATGCACACGCGATAAAATAAGCAAACACTTGTACAAAAACTGAAAAAGAGCCTAATATGCCGTATAAGTGCAAAATACATTGTAGTGGAAATGATGTACAAAAGTAGCAAGCCTAATAATAATATTACATGAAAAAAAGTCTCCATAATGAGCTTTGCATGATACATTATTACAAATAACACCTAGTTTCAGTTGAAACGATCTTTGGGTCTGAAGAGATCAATGGAACGATCATGCAGCTGTTGGATAG